CCTTCCAGCTCTTATCCTATGCTTTTATAATATTCATGTACATATGTACATATCTTTTAAAAATGTAAATGGGATCATATCATGCATATTGTTCTGCAACTCGCTTTGACCACTAAATATGACCTGAAGGTTTTTTCCCCGTCAGTAGATAAAGCACTCTCCCATTCTCTTTCACAGATGCCCAATGTTCCATATTAAGGATGAATCATAGTTTATTTGCATATTCTTCTGTTGACTATTATTATGATTTTTTACATTTTTCCAATTTTACACAGAAATAGGAAAATGTCAGAACATTCTGGAGTCCATGTGCAAGCATGTCTTTAGGATGCATTTCTTTTTTTTTCTTTTTTTGAGACAGAGTCTTGCTCTGTCACCCAGGCTGGAGTGCAGTGGCACAATCTCGGCTCAGTACAACTTCCACCTTATGGGTTCAAGCAATTCTCCTGCCTCAGCCTCCCTAGTAGTTGGCACTACAGATGTGCACCACCATGCCCAGCTACATTTTTTATTTTTAGTACAGGCAAGGTTTTGCCATATTGACCAGGCTGGTCTCGAACTCCTGACCTCACGTGATCCACCCGTCTTGGCCTCCCAAAGTGCTGCCATTACAAGTGTTAGCCACTGTGCCCAACCTTAGCATGCATTTCTAGTGTAGAATTCCTTTCACAATTTTAGTAACTACAGCCACTCCCCTTCCAAAAGGGCTACCCAGTGATATTACAGTGATATTGCTGTATCACCAGTGGTTTTGCAGTTTCATAGTCAGGGCATCCTTTCAAATATGTTCTCCTAGAGATAGTAGGCTCAGTACTTTGGAATCAAGCAACCCTGAGTTTATATCCCAGGCAGTCCAAACACTTAGCTCCCTGGGCAAGTTACCAAACCTCACTCAGCTTCCATTTCCTGCTCATAAAATGAGGATAATATTACGGATTCTTGGGAGTTGTTGGGAGGATAAATATGATAACACCTAAAAAGCACTTGGCACATAGTAGGTGCCCAATAAGCCATAGTTATTAATGAATCCAGTTATGGCTTGAATTCTACAACTTGAGAGAAGGAATACAGTAACCAGCAGTTTGCAGAAAGAGATTTCCTGAGAAGAAAAATATTCAGATGAATATATATATATATATACACACACACACATATATATATGCTACATTTTGTTGGTTTTGGTTTTGAATTTTATCTGTGTTTTTATCTGTTTATTAAAAAGATCAGCCAGACGTGGCGGCACACGCCTATAGTCCCGGCTACTTGGGAGGCTAAGGTGGGAAGATCACTTAAGCCCAGGAGTTTAAGACTAGCCTAGACAACATAGCAAGACCTCATCTCTAAAAATACATATTATATATGAAAAGCCACTGATGATATGTGCTTCTTCAACCTTTGATCTACATCTGCGTTCAGTCTCAAGAAGTAAACTCGGTGCAGACAGTATTTCTTGTTTATTTCCGTCTATTTTGTATAACGTAGAGGTTTGTGCAAGGAGTTATGTTTTGTTAATTACATTTTTACAGGTTAATATTAAAATGAACTGGCATTCCCTAAGCACACACTGATGTAGATGTCCAATCTAATTTATCACTTAGTCCTCTGGCTTAATGATGAAACCTGTCTTTCCCTGCCCCACCTCCCACGGCCTCTGTGGCCAGGGCTGTGTCTACCGCTGGCTCTTCCTGAGATTTTGGCTTTGTATTATGGGTGATTGCTGGCACCAGTTTCTCTGCACATCTGGGGGACCCTTCTAAGGGAACACTTTTATTTTAAAATCAATTTACCTCATTTGATTTCCTAGTTTTCAGCTGTTGTAACAAAACTGTTCATGCACTCGATCACTCAGATTTGGATGGAAATATTTGTCCTATTATCCTGAGTAATAGCTAAGGCAGGACACTCATTTACTCCCAACAAACCACCTGGGACTTATAAAAGAGGAATGGTTTCCAAATCTCTATGACCAGTAATATCCCCATTGCCCTAAGCCTATCTCAATGAAAGAATTAAAATTTGTTTTCTCAGCTGCCAGCTGACGTCCCCAAAAGAGAAGCAGAGACAAATACAAAGGGATACTTGTGAGTAGCCCCTTTTATTAAAAAAAAGGGCTTTTCGTGGTTTTAATAAGAAAGATACAAAAACAGCACTGAAATTCAAAACCAACAAAACGCTGCTCAAGCAGACCTTCGGGCAGAGGATGGCATGGAGAGGAGAATAGCATCGTAGCTAAAATATAGTCCCTGGCCCACTCCTCCTTGCCGTTTTGCAAGTCCATGACCTTCAGCATGTAACATGACCTCTGTATACTTCATTAATTGCACCAATAAAAATAAGGTTAATTACAGTATCTACGTAAGAAAATCAACGTGGAGATTAAATGAGTTTCACAAATACAAAACACCTAGGGCCCCATACAAAGTAAGGGTTACATACATGCTGGCTACTGGAATTAGTATTTACGAGCTTAGGATCTGGAATAGGCTGCCTGAATTCCAACCCTGAATCTGCCACTTATTATCTGCATGACCTCGAGCAGGTTACCTAACCCTTTAAAATGTGCTCCTGCATATGTTAAGTGGGAATGATAATGGTATGTCAGGGAATTCTTTGAGAAGCAATGGGTAAGCTATACAGTGTTTGGCATTTAGAAGGTGCTCTGATATTAAATATAATATGCACTGACATTATATTTAATATGATATATTAATATATTTTATATTAATATTTAATAATATGATATATTATTAATATTTAATAATATGATATATTGATATTAATATTTTATAATATGATATATTAATATAATGCACTGATGTTATATTTAATATGATATATTAAATATAATATGTTTATAATATGATAAGTGCATATTATATTTAATATAATAGATATTGCTAGATGATATTAAATATACATTATATTTAATATAAACATATAAATAAATATAAATATATTTTAAAATATATTTATATATAAATATAATATCAGTGCATATTACTTTTGGTAAACTATATTGCAAGATATTTTTGCCATGTCTATAACAAACTCTTCTGGTATGAGCTGACATGGATTCGTGCACTCTTTCTTTCTGCCTTTTGGTTTCTTACAGAGTTTGGTTTTAAACAAATGAAGTCCCACAGAGGACTATGTAGCAGCAAAGAATGCCATTCCTTATTAATACATCATTATTGTATGGATGAGGCAATGTGCAACCAGGGGACCTTGGGTCTCAGCCAGAGCAGTCATCTCAAGTAACAAATGGACCTAATTATAAGGTGGTTTTACCTAAAAGGTCAGCCTGAGCCCTGTCACGGGAGGCTGGCATCATAGGAAGCTTCTACTGTATTATATTGCACATCAATATTAACATATGTTCTACGACTGTTATGTGAATGTTATTTAGAGGCCTTAGCTTTCTGCTCTGTGCACACAATCATGCACACACACACACACACACACACACACACACACACACACACACACATGCTTTTAGTGGATACAGTAGACCCTCTAAGTCCCATAATTCTGAAAGCTGACTTTGTTTGTTGCTTGGGGACTCTGATTTTGCAGGCTAGTTGCACTGTTGAAATGAGTCCCTGCTGCTTGTAAGTCTTGTTCCATAATTTCATTTGGCTGAAGCAGGAGACAAGTACCTCATTTTAATTAGAATTTCAAGCAAACTGCATTATGTTGTTATATGTTATTCTACAAAAAGATACCGTATCAAGGACAGCTGTTGATGGAGTAAAGCTTCCTGTTAACTCTGCCTGAGAAATGAAAACACTTTCATTCACTTCACCAGTTCTGTCACGATGCTGCTTCTGACACATCCCATGGAACAGAAAGATGTGCCCTGGAGCTCTCCAAGACAGCAAATGTTTGAAACAAGGTGCTAGGTAGTAATCCCAGGGCCCATGAAAATGTGACATCACCATGTCATTAGAGAGCAAATTGCAGGTCCTGTCCTGCTGCCTGTCTCTGCTGGCTTGCTGCAAATCACAGTACTCTCTAAGGAATCCACTCTCTGCCTGTTGCTCTGAGGAAAGCTGTAGACTGTGTTGAAGAAAAACGGAGGCTGTGCTGCCTTAGACCTGCAATTAAGTCCCTGCTGCTCTCCAAACCAATGAGTCCTTCCAAGTAGTAATCTAATTTATTTTTCCCATTTTCTAAGTAATGCTAGGGTAAGCGTGTTCATCATTTTAGACTCACTGATTCTAATTCCTAATTCAGACTTGTTTGTTCAGTAGAAGGTAAACAACCCCCAAGCTATCACCCACCCTCATTTATTTGGAAAGAGAGAGTTTCAGTGGGAGAAGATAAATAGCATGTCAAACATGGTTTGGAGGGGCTGCAACTGAATGATTTCTAGTTTCCTATGTCTGTCTCCAGCTGTTGTGGCCCAGTGTGACTCTGGCAGCTGTGTGCTGGCTTGGCTGAGCTGCTATTCAGTCAAAGCAGATCAATACTTGTAAGCATTTGTTTGATATAACAATCTCAGGCTGGTCCAAGAATTCACACATTGAACCACATGGATGGAAAGGACTGGTTTCCAGTTATCTGTCTGTGCATACAAGATCAACTGGTTGATGCCTGTAATCCTAAAATCCCCTAGAAAATAAAAGGAAGACCACATTTAGAGGATTGGTGGACTCGAGTAGCCCTGGGGATGAATCAATTCAATTCCATGAACATTTATTGGGTGCTACTATAGACAAGGAAACATAGGATATATAAAGATCAGCAAAACACAGTCCCAATTCTCAAGTATAATTTAATACCAGGATATAAAAACATCAGTAGTTAATTAATTATTATTTAGACTTGGCCTTGTTCCAAAAGGACTTAAGATGTAAGAATACTCTTGAAAATATATACAGTGGGTCAAAATGAAATAAAATAAGATTACATGAGAAGAGTTTAGGGGAAATTAAGGTGGGGAAGTTCAATGAAACTGGAAGTTTAGAAAATGTAGACCATGAGAAATAATGCTTACTTACCAGTGATGGATCATAAATTTGTCTCAGAGCTTCTTAGAAACCTGAATAAAACTGGAAACAAAATGGATTTATTATATGATTGACAAGGTCTATGTTGATCTTGCTCACGAAGGGGGAGGGCTATACCAGGTATGGAAATGACACAGATCTTTCTCACGTAAAGATGACTTTGATTTGTTCTAGTCAGGAACTACAAGATACTTATGTAGAATGCAATGATTTTCATAGGCTGATAGCAAGGACTGTTTGTTGCTTATGTAACAGCCATTCCTTGTTACCTTTACCCTTACTGCAAATAACTCCTTCCACCATCACGTGCACACAAACTGAAAATGCTAGATAATGACTCTTGCAGACTCCCCTGGTCATATGGCTTAATCATGGCCAATGGAACCCCAAAAGAAGGATGCTGGGAAGCTCCTGGTTAAGATTTTCCCGTCTGATAAAAAGACACAGTAAGGGAGAAGCTGCCTTTCCTACCTTTGGATTGATTGTAAGAAGACATACCCTGAAAGGTGTCATCATCTTGTGACCAGGAGGGGATGAGCTTTTGAACTAAGCCTATATGCTGAGTTGGGAAGTAGAGCAAGTGTTTCATGAAGTCACAGAAAAAATAAAAGCTCAGATTTCTGCTCCAAAACTAAGATGGGCAAGAAAACGCATGCCAGAATCTAGAAAAAATTTGATGTAAATTTTAAGCAAATAGATCTGGATGAGAAACATCTACTCAGGTTTCATAGAGATGATTTTTTTATAAAGAAAGATGTTTTTTATGGTCCAATTAGAAAAGCTAAGTAGTTTTTCCACCCTTACTATATGATGTCATTCTATGAAATGAGCAGAGGCCTGTTGGCCTTGCCCTTCCTTTCCACCTTATCCTTCTACATCCATGTTGAGAATGAAAACCCCTATAAACAACTGCATTTGTGAGATAGAGTGGACTGTAGGAGGGAGAAGAGGCAGCAGCATAGATGAGCTGGGAGAGGAAGGTCTTAAAATCCTCATAGGTAAAGTCTATGGGAGAAAATAGGCAGATAACGATCACTGCAGCAACACAATCTCTTGTTTTTCAAGCAGTAAGCCGACTTGGGTACCAAATAACCAGGCAGTAGGTGATGGAGGAAATGACACCCTGATAGAGCAGTGACACCCTAAAAACTCTGATAGAGATAGAAAATTAGACTAGAAGATGTTTGTGTCAACCTTCCCTCCAGCTCAAGATCTGAGAAGGGAGTTCAACCATCAAACAGCTAGGCAAAGAGAGTAATTCACTCACCCTGTCTTGATAAACATGAAGTCTGGATATATTTATCCATGTTCTAGCATAAATAAAGATACTAGAAGCATGAATGAGACTGGTGAAAACATATTATAGCAGAAAGAAATGGAAATATTTGACTCAAGGGGGTTCATCTCTGAAAATGATCTATGACGCGATTAAGAAGACTATCAAGAAACCATTGGGAATCCTTGAAAGAATGCCAAAAGACAGGCCACTAGAAATCAGGAGCTTAAGGAGAAAGATAACTCAGATTAAAGGTGAAATTAAAATTCAGATTAGTGAAATTAACAAGGAGCCCCAAAGATCTAAAAAGATCTAAATGGGACTTCCAGGTAAAGATGGAGCTTTGAACAAACACATCTAATTTTGTTCCCTCCCCAAACCCTTATAACACTATAATAGAGAGATTTTTGTTTGGTCTTGTTTTCATATAGCAGTCCACATGGGTACAGAAAATGGAAGCAAAGAAAATAGTGGCAAAATTTTGATGCTGTAAAATAGACAGACATATGGAAACAGACTTAACAGATCTGAGAAAGCGAGTGGAATCCTCAACTATAGGTAGGGAAAGCTGAGAACCAACCCAGTTTACACCACAGTCCCCCTCCAGAGACTCAGAAATTAGCAGCACTAGTCCTTCTGGAAGCCAGGATGAAAGAGGGCAGGACAAAAACTTAGGAGGATTGAGAAAATTAGGAAGAAACTAGATCTCTGTGCCTTCCCTCTCCCTTAGACTGCCACTGGATGCTGTCTCTTCTCCCGAGCAGAAGCCTGGAGGTTTATATTATAGACAGGGTAAAATAGAAACTCTCAGCTTGAAGACAACAATGGAGACCTCTCAGGTTTTGTACCAAAAATAGGAAGATTAAGTACCTGTTTGCATACTGACTGCTGAGCACTAGTTTCTTCTTCCATTGGCTCCCAGAAGGGAACTTTATTTCCCATGAAAGAGATGGATGAGTCTTCTCTGGGGGACATGATCATTCCGTGGTGCTGAAAGCCCCCACCATATAGTTGGCTCTCCTTTTCTGTGGCTCCTCATCCACAGATTCAATGAACTGCAGATTGCAAATATTCAGGGAAAAAAAAGGTGCACATAAAAAACCCAATAAAATATAACAAATATTTGCATAGCATTTCAATTGTATTAGGTATTATAAGTAATCTAAAGATGAGTTAAAGTAAACAGGAGGGTGTGCACAGGTTATATGCAAATACTACCCTCCATTTTATATAAAGGATTTGAGCATCCGTGGATTTTGGTTCCACAGGAGTTTTGGACCAATCCCTGCTTATACTAAGCGATCACTGTATTGACAATGGGAATAGTAAGCACTCTGCAGTGATTCACAGAGGATAGTCTGCATCTAGGTACTCAGAGTTTCAGGCAGCCGTTTAGCCCTCTGCTCTTTAATATAAGCAAACAATCAAGGTTTTCCATAAATCCAAGAAAAGCAGGTAGTATGGTGGGGGATGGGGGAGGAGAAAACAAGAGAAAAAAGGAAACTGTATGAAAAAGGCATTGTGCAGGGAAAAGAAAATATTAAAAAGTAAACTGTAATGAGTATCTTTCAAAATATAAAAGAATTGTATACATGAAACAAGAACAGGGTGCCCTAAAAATGGAACAAAGAAACAAACAAACAAAAATAATAAAGCTTTGGGTATAAAATGCTATGGACAAATGTAATTTACATGAGTGTTAGAAAAAATCTGAATGACGCTGTGAAACCCTGAATCAGTCATATGAAAGTTAAACTTGAAAAGTGTTCCTGGATTGCAGAAGCAAAATCAAAGAGATTTAAATGGCAAACAGAGGATAGATATGGAAGATATGTAATGGAGAGCAAACACAGATCACTGGTGTTCTCAGATCAGTATAAATAGAAGATAAACCAAAGCGAAGATGAGAAAAACATTTCTGAGCTGAAAAAAATATCTGTATTTACTGATTGAAAGCACCCACTACATCGAAGCAAAATGATTTTTGAAAGACCCAAATGAAAGTACATCCTGGCCAAACTTGAAAACTTAGAAGAATGAAGGGGATTTATGAGCCCCTTGTCAAAACACAGGAATAGATTAAAAGAAATACAAGTAAGACTGACCTCAAATACCTTTTCTGCAACCCGACATACCAGAAGACAGTGGACTTATGTCTATAGAATTTTAAAAATAAACAATGGCCGGGCGCTGTGGCTCATGCCTGCCTGTAACCCCAGCATTTTGGGAGGCCAAGGCAGGCGGATCACCTGAGGTCGGGAGTTCGAGACCAGCCTGACCAACATGGAGAAACCCCGTCTCTACTAAAAATACAAAATTAGCCATGCATGGTGGTGCATGCCTATAATCCTAGCTACTTGGGAGACTGAGTCAGGAGAATCACTTGAACCCGGTGGGGCAGAGGTTGCAGTGAGCTGAGATTGTGCCATTGCACTCCAGCCTGGGCAACAGAGCGAAACCCCATTAAAAAAAAAAAAAAGAAAAGAAAAAAGAAACAATTATCATGTAAGAAATTTGTACCTAGTCAAATTTTGTGTGTGAAGGCAACAGAAGAAAGTACTCACAAATATGCAATGTATCATTCATGTGAAAAAAAATTATTTGAAGCCGTAATTGAAATGCCTGAGAGAAAGAACAAAATTTTCAAAGTTTCGAAATATGAAGATAATTGTATAAACCATCTGGCTGCAAACATTGAACCGTTTAGAATTGAGAGATATCCAAATTAATTTTTGTAAATGTTATTCTAAAAGTGGATGCCAATTTCAAAACTCATTTTTAAATTAGAAGATATATAATGTTTGGAAGGAAAAAAGAAGTGCGGGTGGGAAGATAGAAGTGAAAGAAGAAAAGGGAGAGGGAGAGCAAAAAAGTTCACTTAACGTTTTGATTACATGAATGATGACAGAGAGGTGGTAGGATAAGTCTTAAACTACTGAGTTTAAGCACAACCTAAAATTGTTCTTAAACTCAATAGTTGTCAAATGCTGTTGTGCATTGGAATCAGCTGGGGATCTTTATGAACCACTGATGCCTGGCTTTCACCCTCCCATGGTTTCATTTAATCGGTATGGGGTGCCAGAAAGCTCCTCTGCCATTTCCAATGTGCAGCAACATTTGGGATCAACCGGCTTAACTCAATAAATAGAAAAAAGTAAGAATGGCAAGTAGATTTCAGCTTGTGTTTCAGCCCTTCTTAATTGGCAATGACTGCCTTAGGGCTTTGCTGGGGTCATATCAGGCTCAATGGGAAACTGCTCTGATTCATTTATACTGTCTTCACTGGAAAAGGAGAGAATGACATCACACACTGGCCATCCCTGGGTTGAAGTAGATTTCTAAATTAAAGTAACAATTAATAGATTTAAAATAGGCTGGGTGCGGTGGCTCACGCTTGTAATCCCAGCACTTTGGGAGGCCGAGGCGGGCGGATCATGAGGTCAGGAGATTGAGACCATCCTGGCTAACACGGTGAAACCCCGTCTCTACTAAAAATACAAAAAATTAGCCAGGCGTGGTGGCGGGCACCTGTAGTCCCAGCTACTTGGGAGGCTGAGGCAGAAGAATGGCGTGAACCCGGGAGGCAAAGGTTGCAGTGAGCCGAGATTGTGCCACTGCACTCCAGCCTGGGCTACAGAGCGAGACTCCGTCTCAAAAAAAAAAAAAAAAAAATTAAAATAATGATAGATTCCTTCAAAAATATTGGAGAAAGTAAAAGTAAAAATCATATAGTCATATAAAAGGCATTAGGAAGGAAGGAAGGAAGGAAGGAAGGAAGGAAGGAAGGAAGGAAGGAAGGGGAAGGAAACATAAGGAGAAATTTTTTAAACGGTGGTGAAATATGATCAAATATGTTCATGAAGTCTATAAATGCAATTGGGGGAATCCCCTTCTTTAAAAGAGAATATCTTTAGATTGTATAAGAGAAGGGAAATCCATCTATGTGACATTTTCCAAAGACCCACAAAATTACTAAATAAAAAATACATTAAAAATTACATTAAAAAATTAAAATGTGGCAAACATATCAGGCAAATACAATATGAAAGAATTCCAATACTAACAACAAATATAATAGAAATTAAAGTAGAAATATTAAATGAGGTAAAGATGTCCTGTCAGAAAGGATATTTTACAATGAATATAAAACTGTCATGAAATTTTATTCATCAGATAACATTATATCAAAATAAAAAAGTGAAATCTGCTATAAATTAGAAATGGACAGAAGTGCAATATCAATGGGACATTTTAACATACCTCTTTCTCTTTTTGACAGGCTAATAAAAATATAAATCAGTTGATATGCATAATTATAAAATATACCTTTATTTTCAATACTAATATAACACCTACTAAAAAATAAAAAGATCATGCATCAATACAATATAGTTCCTGTTCTCATTTATTGAATCAAGGAGAAAATTAACACTACAATTAAAAAAAAACAAATTAACAATGATGAGAATAGTACATATCACAAATGCCCTACAACAGAGGTGACTATGAGAAGAATGTCATTTCAAGAGGAAAGTTTAGGTTGACGCTGAGAGCGATGGTGACTTCAGTGTATAATAAAATCTACCCATGCCTCTTATGTTCCTTCTTCCGAAGAAAAAGTCTTGGATTCCAATTCTACCCCTAGAGCTACAGTGATAGTCTTCTCCTTTCTTCTTCATTTTGGATTTTTTGAAAATTTTTAAATTCTGCTCTGTGAAATCAGTGTGAACAGAATGAAACAAAAAAAAGCTACAGACTGGGAGAAAAATATTTTGTAAAACATATGTCTGATAAAGGACTTGTATCTAAAATACATGAAAACCTCTTAAAACTCAACATTAAGAAAGCAAACAACCTACTTAACAAATGGGCAAAAGATCTGAAACAGATACTTCACTACAGAAGTATACAGATGGCCAATAAGCATATGAAAAAGATGCTCGACATCATTTATCATTAGGGAAATGCAAATTAAAACAAGAAAGCAACACCAGTGCATACCTATTGCTAAATGACTAAAATCCAAAAAAACTAACAGTTCCAACTGCTGGTGAGGATGCAGAGCAACAAGAACTCTCATCCATTGCTGGTGGAAATGCAAAATTTACAGCCACTTTGGGAAGACAGTTTGGCTGTTTCTTACAAAGCTGAACAGAGTATTACCATACCAAACAGCAATTGTGCTCCTAGATATTTACTAACTGATTTGAAAACATATGTCCACATAAAAACCTGCATGCAAATGTTTATGAGAGCTTTATTCATAATTGCCAAAAACTAGAATAACCAAGATGTCCTTCAATAGGTCAGCTGATAAACAAACTGTGGAACACCCATACAACTAAATATTATTGAGTAATGAAAAGGAATGAGCTAGCAAGTCATGCAAAATATGGATGAATTTTAAATGCAAGTTCTAAATGAAAGAAGCCAACCTGAAAAAGGCTATGTATTACATGATTCAATTTACATGACATTTTGGAAAAGGTAAAACTATAGATACGGTAAGCAGATCAGTGGTTGCCAGTGTTGCAGGGAGCCAGTGGGGAAGGGCTGGATAGGTAAAGCACAGGAGATTTTTTTAGGATGGTAAAACTATTCTGAATGATACTGTTACAGTAGGTAGCTAGTCAGGCATAAGCAGGGTAGGAGAGGGCTCCTCCCCCCTACCCCCAACCAGGAGTGTCAGGTGACTGTCAGCTGATGGTCAGGTGGTTATTAACTGTCTCTCTAAAATAATAATTGGTCATAGCTGGCGCCACGGCAAGGCAGTCTCCCAATAGAGGAAACCTGAAACTGGTGATCAGCAGTTTCTTAATAAGATCTCAGGAGCTGGGTGAGTGGGCTCAAGCATGCACATTAAGAGGCAGACTGGCAGAGTTTAACTGGTATATGACCTTCTAGGAAGATTCAGCTGGTAAGGGAAGAATGCCTCAAGGGAGCACGTGTACAAGTCCAGTAAACACACTGCACAGCCTCCCCTCCCAAATGCTAGCAGACCACTGTGCATGTGGACAGCCCACCCCAAGGGAAGAACCAGGGAAGAAGAGATGCA